CAGCTTCCACATCAGTTGTAAACCGACGCTGATTGAGGCGTCTGCTCTGTGGGAAAGCAAGCATTCACCAGTGGGGAAACTGAAAGAGTCTACAGCCCATTCTGCCCATCGTATCTCTGCTGGCTCTGTTAACATTTTATCTAAACCCTCTTTACTCACAGCCCTATAGCTTTTCAATAGGATTTAGGGAGAGTTCTTAGGGCTAAAGGGAACAGAGGGTATGGGGAGAAAGTGGGAACAGGACGCTGTGACTGATCAGCATCGTCATATTGAATGGTAGACCAAGCTTGAGGGGCTTTATGGCCTATTTTCTATGTTTGTTTCCTCTGGTTCAAAGATTGATCCAATCTTCCCTTATGGACTACAATGGCCTCTGCCTGTGCCAGAGTAACCCCTTCCCTAGGAGGCTGATGAAAGAGATTTCTCGGAAACACTTTCCTCACTTCCTCAGGGTCACTTTTAAATTCCTGTCCCCTTCCCAATGACTGCCCAATCACAGGAAGCTATCTCTCTGAAAACAAGTAAAATACTGGAGATCACAGCGGATCAGACAGCATCAATGGAGAGAGAGCAAGCTAACAGTTCGAGTCTAGATGACTCTTCATCAGAGCTGACATGAACTGTGGGAGGGATACCATGCCTCCTCCTCTGAGCATTGTCACGGTAAACAGTTAGCAGGAGGGCAGAGGAAATACTTCAGCAATGCATGTCAGGTCTCCCTGAAGAAGCTGCACCATCCCAACGGAGGCTGTGGGAACCTCTGACCCGAGACCCACCGACCTGGAGAAGGAGCATCTGTAACGTGCCAACTCCTCAAGGATCTCTGCCAGGTCTCCGGGTGCAGACAGCAGATGGAGTGCCACCCTCACAGCTCAGCTACCACCCCATACCCCCACTCTGTGGCACAGTGAGTGGGCACAGCATTGGACTGGTCAGTCCCCTCACCAACCACTGTATCAAAGTGGAGAGTAATCAGCTTTGAAAAGAAAGAAGCATCATCTGCTTCCTTATTTCTGCACATCCCCTCCTGTCTGCGTGCTAACTTGTTCTTCAGTCCACAGCTCGTTTGTTGTCATACACCGGTTCAGCCAGGCATCGGAATTTAAAAATCCTCATCCTTGGTTTCTAAACCTTTCCCTGGTGCCTCGCCTCCCTGGCCCTATAATCTCCTCCAGCCGAACAAACTCTCTGCTCTCTACTATGACCTCTTGTGCTTTGTTCAAATTGCTGTACCGTTGATGGTCGTGCCTTCATGTGCCCGGGCCCTGAGCTCCGGGATTCCCTCCCTCCCCACCTGGGCCCTGAGCTCCGGGATTCCCTCCCTCCCCATCTGGGCCCTGAGCCCCTGGATTCCCTCCCTGACTGTATCCGCCTCCCTCTGCCCACTTTCCCTCTTGACCATGCTCTTTCGGACCTGTGTGTTTGACGGAGCCCCTTTGCCCACCGCCGTCCTACCCCATTCAGTAAAAACCAGCTGATGAATGCAACATGAGCTGCACTCTCCGCAAAGGAGAGTATTTGTGATGCATTAGGAAATCTTTGACAGGGCCTTCAGTGGTTAATTTTACCAGCAGCCATGAGGACTCCAGGCTGATCAAATTACTGAGATGCAGTTTCTGCCAACCTGGCATTTGATGTGCATGAATTATTCAGTTTGATCCACTCCTATCTGTTTGATTGTTTTCCTTCAACATTGCAGCAAGGCAGGAAAAGGATGAGGCCTTTTGGCCCCTCAAACCAGCTCCGCCATTCTAGAAGGTCTGTATTCCCTTTTAATTTAACTCTGTAGGTACTGGTATAGTTCTGACAATCTGCAACATATCTACCCCAGATACAGTGTATCCTACCCAGTGTGATTCACTCTCAGTCCAGAACCTGAATAAGACAGACATCTGTTCCAGGATGGAATGCTTCACTCTCCTAATGTGTTATTGCTCTGATGGATCTCCAGGCAAACTCCTCGAATCAATGGGCACCTTCATGGAAAGAGAGCTAATTGGATAAACCGCGAGCAAAGAAAGGATGAAGAATTTTCTTCTTTTTCTCTTCACACACCTACTGCGGGTATATGAGGCAGTCACAATCTGCTTTTCTCCTGTTTCCAAAGCTGGTTTTTCCTGGAAGTGGCCTGTCACTGAGAGGGGTGGGGTGGTCCTGGCAGGGCTTGGAGAGGGACCCCATATTGAGGAGCCTCTGCTGCTCGTAGTGCCTGCCCTGGATGTGTCCGACTCATTTACAGGCTGATAATCAACCAGTTAGATTTAATTTGATTTGATTTATTATTGTCACATGTACCGAGGGACAGTGAAAAGTTTTGTCTTGTGTGCAGTTCAGGCAGATCCTACCATACAAAGTGCATTAGGATAATAGAACAAAATGAGGAATACAATATTACAGATGCAGAGAAGGTGCACAAAAAGCGAGATCAACATTAAATTTAAAATTGGAGAGATCCATTCAGAAGTCTAATAACAGCGGGGAGGAAGCTGTTCTTGAACCTGTTGATATATGTATAGAAACTTTTATATTTTTGGCCCAACGGAATAGGGTGGAAGAGAGTATAACTGGGGTGGGAGGGGTCTTTGATTATGTTGGTTGCTTTCCCAAGGCAGCAGGAAGTGTAGATGGAGGTAATGGATGGAAAGCTGGTTTGAGTGATGGACTGGGCTGTGTTCACTACTCTCTGTAATTTCTTACAGTCTTGGGCAGAGCAGTTGCCATTCCAAGCTGTGATGCATCCGGATGGGATGCTTTCTATGATACATCAGTAAAAGTTGGTAAGAGTTCTGGACATGAACTCACCTTCCCCGGTCATTGAGTCCTGGAGCAGGATTTGAGCCAGGAGCTTCTGGGTCAGAGACAGGAATATTACCCACTCCACCACCAGACCATCCCAGGGTTAATGTTTACAGAGTGATTGAAATGTTTCTTCATTTCGTTCATTTGTTCTTTAATTCTTTTCTTTGTTTTGTTCTTTAGTTTGTATTTTCTCAGTGTATGAAGGGATCTGCTCCTTGGATGACCCGTGAATTACAGCAGGGTGCAGTGGGGTATGTGGTGCTAAGGGAGGAACCTCTGATATGGAGTAGATTGAGATAGCCTCTGGTAGGAGTGTGGCCAGAATAGAACATAGAACAGTACAGCACAGTACAGGCCCTTCGGCCCACGATGTTGTGCCGAACTTTTGCCCTAATCCTAAGATCTACCTAACCTCCACCCCTACCTTATACTATCATCCACATGCCTATCTAATAGCCACTTAAATGCCCCTAATGAGGTCGACTCCACTACCCTCTCCGGCAATGCATTCCATGTCTCTACCACTCTCTTGAGTAAAGAACCTACCTCTGACGTCTCCCCTATATCTACCTCCACTCACTTTAAAACTATGCCCCCTCGTAATAGCTACCTCCACACTAGGATAAAGTCTCTGGCTGTCCACTCTATCTATACCTTTGATCATTTTGTACACCTGTATCAAGTCACCTCTCATCCTTCGTCGCTCTAAAGAGAAAAGCCCTAGCTCTCTCAACCTTTCCTTGTAAGACCTTCCCTCCATTCCAGGCAACATCCTGGTAAATCAAAGAGTGAGTTGCTTAATGAGGAAAGGTTTGGCAGATTGTGCCTGAATCCACTGGAGTTCAGGAGATTGATGGGTGACCTGATTGAAATGTATAGGATCCTGAATGATCTTAATACGGTAAACATGGAAACAATGTTTCTTTTTGTGGACCAATCGAGAACTTGGGAAACACTGTTTTAAAATTAGGGGTTACTCTTTTGGAACTGAGAATGAGGAGAATCATTTTCTCTCTTGGGACAGGGTGTGTTGTTGTGTGATTTTTGGAATACTGTGCCTAATTCTTGTCAGGTAGGGGGACTGAGAGTTAGTGGGGTAGATGGGACTGTGGAATTCGAAACACAACCAGATCGGACATGAATAAAATCAAAATCGTGCAGATGTTGGAAATCTGAAGCGAATGGAGAATGTTGAAGAAACTGACCAGGTCTGACAGCACCTTTGGAGAGAGAGAAACAGAGCTAATGGTTTGTGGAGAGAGAAACAAATCATCCGTGATCTTCTTGAAGAGGAGAGGGTTTGAAGGGCCGAATGGTCACCTGCTTGCATTTTGTGTGAATGTCCTTCACATGCTCTGGACTTTCCCACTTTCTGCTGTGGTTTGAATCCTTTGCTTTCTGAGCTTCCTGATTAATTGATTGGTGGCTGCATCTTCAGCTGCTGAGTCCCAGCATTCCTGCCTGAGCCTGCTCCCAAATGCAGCTGCTGATTATATAGGGCTGTGTCCCATACTCTGCCAAGAGGCAGACTCTTGGCTAATTGTCAGCTTATGCCTATTTCTGAGCTGTCTTCTCAGCAGTCCTTGTCAATGCTAGTTACTCCCCAGGACCAAGGGACTATAAAGTCTCCCTCAGCTGGAATGGGAATGGAGCCGAGGTTGCTGGTGTCATCCTGAACCTCAGACAAGCCATCTAGCCCATCGTTAAATATGAAGTTCAAGAACAATGCAGCACAGAAAGAGGCCATTGGGCCCATCCTGTCTGCACTAGTCTATCTTTGTAAATCAGTCGTCTACGTTGACATCTTCTTGTGTAGGGGGCAGTTTGTTAACGCTCCTAGGAAGTGTTTTGGGAAATCTGACTTTAAAGTAAGAAGCATGAGGTTTAGAGGGGGCTTGAAGGAATACTTTTTCACCCAGAGAATGACGGGGGTGCAGTATCTGGTTTTCGCTACCTGGTAAAGGCCGGAACCCTCAAGACATTTAGGTGGACACTTGAAGCACCACAATATGAGGTTACAGGCCAAGTGTTGGTAAATGGCACTGGAGTAGATGACTGGTGTGGGAACAATGGGCTGAAGGGCCACTTTCCGTGCTGTTAAAACTCTATGATTGTCTTAAAGGTGCTATCTAAATGCGAGTTGTTATCATATGATGCTGAATGGCTTTCCTCACCTGTTTCTAACCTTCCTGATCTTGCAGTGATCAGTGATGGCCCGCTGGAAGCCCCCTACAAACTGAAACAGTTCCATTTCCACTGGGGCCGGAGAGGCAGTCAGGGATCTGAACACACCATCGATGGCAAGTCCTACCCTGGTGAGGTGAGCAAGGTTATCGTCAATCAATCAAAATCCAGATGGAGTTGGGGGGGGTGATGATGGGGTGTTTCCTGAAGGTGAAGATCTCTCTAGGTTCAGAAACGAACTGCTTGTTACCTCCTCCAATTCCACTGGTTATTCATTGACAGAATGTAAAAGCTGGCAAAATACTGCCCGTCCCTAATTGCCCCCTTGAGAAGGTGGGGGTGAGCTGCCTTCTTGAACCGCTGCAGTCCATGTACTGTTGGTGGACCCACAATGCCGTTAGGGAGGGAATTCCAGGATCCTTACCCAGTGACTGTGAAGGAACGGTGATATATTTCCAAGTCAGGATGGTAAGTGCCTAGGAGGGGGACTTTAAGACGGTGATGTTCCCATGTATCATTGCTCTTGTCATTCTAGATGGAAGTGTTGGTGAATTTGGAAGATGCTATCTAAGGATCTTTGGTGAATTTCCACAGTGTGTTTTGTATATCGTACACACTGCTGCTACTACATGCTGACAGTAATGAGCGTAGGTATAGATTAGGGATCATTCTTCATGAACTCACTGAGACAAAGAGTACTGACTGATACCGCACCTGCTCTCATGGCCCCCTGACTCCCATCCTTGCTCTTGTCTGATGTCCCTGAACAGTGTCATTGTTCAGGATGTGAAATCCAGGTCTTATTTTCACATTACTATGGGGATGCTGTGATTGACTGTCACAGCTCCATTAGAGAGCCAGACTGAGAGGGGATAACAACATCAGGTGACTACTTAGCTGTTGGACTTTCCCAACCCTGATTTAAATGGAAACAATGAGTAAGGTTATAGGGGAAAGGGCAGGTGAAAGGCACTGAGTCATTTGGACAGCTGGTGCGGAGATGAAGGGCTGAATGGCTGCCTCTTGTGCACCAACGATTCTGATTCTGTGGGTTTCACAGCTGGTCCAGATCATTTAACCATGGGCTGAACCACAGGCCAATGCGAAGAGGACATCGCATGAGGGACAGCAGAGGATCCAATCCTCGCTAGGTCTTTAAGATGGTGAATATTGAGAGGTGCCCTGGGATATCTGTCACTCAGTAGTGAATTCACAAGTTATACATTGTGCGACGTATTGGCCTGTTTATGGGCCTGACCTCATTTGGCACCTTTGGGTGAAGTTGCATATATATTTAATCTCCGTGTGTGTACAGTGACATTTGAAGGAAGAGTGAGAGTAGGCCATTCAGCCCCTCAAACCTCCTCTGCTGTTTAATATAATCATGGCTGATTTGATTGTAACCTCAAATCCACAGTGCTGTCAACACCCCAATAACATTTCACCCCTCCCTTTCCCTATCAAGAATCTATCGATCTCGGCCTTAAAATTATTCAGGGACTCTGCCTCCACCACCTTTTTTAGGAAGAGAGTTCCAAAGAGTAATGACCCTCTGACAGAATAAATTTCACCTCTTCTCTGTTTTGAAATGGGCAGCCCCTGGTTTTTGATCAGTGAGCCAGAGGTTTAGATTCTCCCATAACAGGAAGCATCCATCCTGTGAAGAACCCTCAGCGTCTTATACATTCCCATTAAATCACGTCTTACTCTTCTGAATGCAGTGGATACAGGCCTAGCCTAGAATCCCTACGGTGCGGAAAGAGGACATTAAGTTCATCAAGTCTATACCAACGCTCCAAAGAGCATTCCACCCAATCCCTGTAACCTCGCATTTAGCACAGCCAATCCACCCAACCAGCACGTTTTTGGACTGTGGGAGGAAACTGGAGCACCCAGAGGAAACCCACACAGACACATGGAGAATGTGCAAACTCCACACAGACAGGCACCAAAGGATGGTAACAGACCCTGGTCCCTGGTGCTGTGAGGCAGCAGTGCTAAGCACTGAGCCACTATGTTGCTGCCTGACCAGCCTTTCCTCATAAAACAGCCCCCCTACTCCAGGTAATAATCTGATAAACCTTCCCTGAACTGCCTGCAATGCACTTACAACTTGTGCACAATGGTCCAAATGCAACCTCACCAATGTCTTGTATAACCTCCCTAATTTTGTATTTATGTTCCTTTCAATCTTGTGATAAATGATTACCTTACACTAGCTGTATTATCCCTTGCTGTAGCTGCATACTAGTCCACTGGCTGACCTTCCCATACTACCGTGCTCCCTTGTGGGTCACAGTCTACACCAATCCATCCTACCCAGAACCTCCTGGGAGAGGCAAGCAAAAGAGAAAGCCTAATCCCAATTTGGTGTGAATAAAATTAAGGGAAATTGCTTTCAGACCCTCCTCCTACTTCCCTCAAACCCCAATTTTGTTTTTTTTTTAAGTGATCAGAACTACTCTAGAAGGGTTCTTGATGACTTGTTACAACTGGTCTTCTGTAAGCAGGAAAGGGTCAGCTCTCCCTTGTGTGATTTATGTGTACTTTTGTCATTTATTGTAAGTTTTTTGGTTTTTGAGCATGTAGGTTTAATGTGTCTCTGAAATTAATAATTAACTTAAGTATTTCTGTAACCATGGTGATTTCCATGAAAAAAGCCCTTGATTTTTTTTGTGCACTGTGGGTTTGTTGGAGATTTTTGGAGTTTGATTGTTTTTCTGCTTAAGAGAAACACCCATCACATAGGGAGGGATTTGTTTTTGGTTTTACTTTGAGTTTTGGGCAGGCCTGTGAAGCCCTTTCATGAGGATGGCTGTTTTCAGACCAGTACTTCTGAGAAAGGAAGGAAATATTGAAGGTTATCTTAGAGTGAAAGATATGTGTTAGTCCCAGGCCAGAAGTGGTGGGATAGCACCCTGAAGAGATTACTGAAAGATGAATACATTTAACTTCAGGTGTATGAAAGCCTCTTTCTGGAACTGTCTGAAATTCAAATCTATACATTAAAGTACAAGAGATTTAAATCTATTGAGGCATTAGTGACAGAGATCCTGTGTGAACACTGTACAAGTGGTAATTTTGGAGATCATTTCAGCATGTGAACCACTACGAGATTGTTCCCTAGTCTACACTACTCTAAAGGATAGAGGCCTACTCATTTAGCCTACCTTAAGAACTAAACTGCATCAAATTGGAGTGAGTCAAAAACCTGCATACCTGTGGCACCATAAGCCCTGACCAGAGTGAAGGTCATAACAGCATGGAAACAGACCCTTTGGTCCAACTCATGCATACCGACCAGATATCCTAAATTAATCTACTCCCATTTGCCAGCAATTGGCCAATTATCCCTGTAAATCCTTCCTATTCACGTACCCATTTTAAATGTTGTAACTGTACCAGTCACCATCGCTTCCTCTGGCAGCTCATTCAATATGCTCACCACCCTCTGCGTGAAAATGTTGCCCCTTAGATCCCATTTAAATCCTTCCCCTCTCACCTTAAACCTATGTTTTCTAGTTTTTGATTGCTCCACCCCAGGAAAAAGACCCTGGCTATTCATTCTATCCATGACCCACATGATTTTATAAACTTCTATAAGGTCACCCCTCAGCCTCTGATGCTCCAGGGAAAATAGCCCCAGTCTATTCAGCTTCTCCCTATAGCTCAAAACCCTTAAACCTGGCAATATCCTTGTAAAGCTTTTCTGAACCTTTTCAAGTTTAACAACATCTTCCTATAGCAGGGAGACCAGAATCACATGCAATATTCCAAATGTGGCCTAATTAATGCCTTGCACAGCTGCATCATGACCTCCCAACTCCCATACTCAATGCACTGACCAATGAAGGCAAATGTGCCCAGCACCTTCTTCACTATTATCCTGTCTACCTACTCCACTTTCAAGGAGCTATGAACCTGCACTGCAAGGTCTCTTTGTTCAGCACACTCCCCAGACTTTATCATCAAGTGTATAAGTCCTGCCCTGATTTACCTTTCCAAAATGCAGCCCTCACATTTATCTAAATTAAACTCCATCTGCCATTCCTGTGATTGGATTAATTTCCCTGTCAATCTCACTGCTGGAATTGACTGGGATCTGTATTGTGTAACTGTTCTCCACTCACTGCATCTTGCTGGAGAGGAGATCCTGCGATTAGCAGAAGACTGTGCAGTAGTTGTGGTGTGAGTTCCATTTGCTGCAGTCTATAGATTCCCTGTTTGCAGGGAATTGGACAGGTACATGAGTAGAAAGGGTTTAGAAGGATATGGGCCAAATGCTGGCAAATAGGACTAGATTGACTTGAGAAACTTGGTAAGCATGGACGAGTTGGGCCGAAGGGTCTGTTTCCATGCTGTATGACTCTATGACTGTCTGAGTTTAATTAGACTGTTTGCTGATGAGCACCTTGGCCCCTCCAGATTTGGTCGATCAGCCTTTGTTTCTCTCTGTTTCAGCTTCACTTGGTTCACTGGAACGCAACAAAGTACAAAACCTTTGGGGAGGCAGCAGGGTCACATGACGGACTGGCTGTGGTTGCTGTGTTCTTGGAGGTAGGTCCTAATCTCGATGGCCGGAGAGTGAATACTTGTTGTCACATCGATTGAATTTGATGGAGAGTAAAACAAGAATGATTCAATCTGCAATAACCAACACCGTGTGAGCGTGTGAGCATGTGACCGTGCATGTATGTACGTGTCACTGATTCCAGTCAAGGCTGAAAGGTCAGATGTGTCACAATTATTGTTGCAAGTCTATTATGTTCAAAAGAAATAACTTACTTTTGTATGGGACCGGTTATGACCTCAGATCATTTAATGCACTTTACAGCCAGCAATTTACTTTTGAAACATGACATTCTGAAAACAGCAACAAGCCATGCTGGTAGGCTCCCACCAAACAGTGACCAAGTCATCAGTTTTGGTCTCTTTATTAAAGAAAGATATCATTTATTTGGACACAGTTCAGAGAAGGTCCGATCCTGGTGTGGAGGGACTGTCTTATGAGTAAAGGCTAAACAGGTTGGGACTCTACTCACTGGAGTTTAGATGAATGCGAGATGATCGCATTGAAACATATAGGATTCTGAAGGGGATTGACAACGTAAATGCAGAGAAGATGTTTCCCCTCATGGGAAACTGAGATGAGGAGGAATTTCTTCTCTGAGGGTTGAGTCTTTGGAACTCCTGCCGCAGAGAGCTGTGGGGACAGGGTCCTTGTGTATATTTACAGCTGAGTAAGATTTGTGATCAGTCAAGAAATTGTGGGTTATTGGGAAAGGACAGGAAAGTGGATGTGAGGAAAGTCGGATCAGCCATGATCCTATTGAATGATAGAGCAGTCTCGAGGGGCCGAACAGCTACTCCTGTTCCTATTTCTCATGGTCCTATCTGTGTAGTGATGCTGGTGAAGAGATAAACATTGGCTGAGAGACTGGGCAGAATTCCCCAGCTCTTTGAGATAGTGCCACAGAATCTTTTACATAGCAGAGATAGTGGCTTTGTAGGAATACTATGGAATCATAATCCCAAAGCCCAAGCTAATTCTCTGGGTTCCAATCCCATGACATCAGCTGGTGGAATTTAAATTCAATTCATATCACTATAATTGAGAAAAAAAAATCTAGTCTCTGTGATCATGACTGTGAAATTACCATGAATTGTTACCAAAACCCATCTGGTTCACTACTAATGTCCTTGAGGGAAGGAAATCTGTTTTGTTTACTTGGTCTGGTCTACCTATGACTCCAGACCCACAGCAATGAATAAGGAATGAGTGGATTGTCTTATGGAGAAAGGCTAGCCAGGTTCGGCTTGTATCCTCCAGAGTTTAGAAGAGTCACAAGTCATGTAACTGAAACTTTTCAGATTCTAAGGAGCCTTGACCAGGTGGATATGGAAAGGATATTTCCTCATGTGGGAGAATCTAGAACTAGGGGTCACTGTTTAAAAATAAGGGTCTACCCATTTAAAACAGGGATGAGGAAACATTTTCTCTCAGAGGGGTGAGAGTCTTTGGAATTCCCTTCCTCAAAAGGCAGTGGGTGCAGAATCTTTTACATATTTTAAAGGCAGAGGAGGTAGATTCTCGATGACCAAGAGGATGGATGAATATCAGGGGTATGGGATTAGAATAGTTAGGTGGAGTTTTTTGACTAGCACCAAGGCAATGGGCGGAAGAGTTAGTTTTCTGTTGTGAAGATCTCTCTGACGCTATGCAGGAATGTAGAATCGAGGTTGGCCATGATTTTATTGATGGGGGGGACCAGGCTCGAAGGGCCGACTGGCCTACTCTTGTTCCTTGTTCATTAGTGGTTGACTGTTAACTACCCTCTGAAGTGGCCCAGCACGCCGCTCAGTTCGAGGGCAGTTAGCAACGGGCAACAAATAAAGAACAATGAACAGTACAGCACAGGACCAGGCCCTTCAGCCTTTGTAAACTAAAAACGTTTTGCCTGCACACAGTCCGTATCCCTCTATTTCCTGCCTATTTATGTATATGTCAAGGTGCCTCTTTAATGTTGCTTTTGTACGTGCCTCCAGTGCTTCCTCTGACAGTGCATTCCAGACACTTAACACAATCTGTGTAAAATAAAAACCTGCCCCTCACATCTCCTTTCAACTTATCCCCATTACCTTAAACCTATGACCCTTAGTAATTGACATTTCTACCCTGGCCTTTCCAGTGACACCCTGGTGCTGTGAAAGAACATGGAGACCCTTAACCTGAGGGAATGGGCAAAGACCTGATCTGGGCATATCACCTGAGTGATGGCCATTCCAGTGAAGTGTCCTTTAGTGCTGGCACTGTGAGCTTAGCCAGGGTCACCAGTGAATTTATTCTATCACTGTGTGGTTCAAAGAGGAGATTACTGTGATATATAAAGGTCATGGAGGCACGGGAGGGACAGCAAATGATTTACAATCATGATAGTTAAACTGTGATTTATAACTATTGGGAAAAATTTAACAAGTCTGTTCTCACTGGAATGAAATGTGGCTCTGGAGCGTTTGTAAATTTCAAAGTGGTTTGATATGGAGAGGACATCTATGTTTGTAGAGAAAACCAAATCTGGGAGCCATAAATAAAGCATTGGCACTTATTGATCCAGTAGGGAACTCGAGAAACCTTTCTCGGGTAGGAATGTGGAACTTGCTCCCATTCAGGGGATGTAGGCCCATATTCATGTGGATAGTAAACACCAGATCAGGCCAGGGCGAAATGGCCCTTGACTGAGGTGTAAAATTCTACATTGGTTAAGGGTATCTCTGATAGAACAATCTAATCTCGTCATATTTTAAAATCTTCCCATCTCTTTCAGACTGGAGATAAACATACCAGCTTGAACAGATTGACAGATGCCTTGTACATGGTTAAATTCAAGGTAACGTCAGATGTTTGTGGTGCTATGGATTTGTCCATCTGCCCTGGGCAAAGGCGGTGCAGCTTTCTATTTGACTTGGAGTCATAGAGATGTGCAGCACAGAGACACACCCTTTGGTCCAACGTTTCAACCAAATATCCTAAATTAATCTCGTTGCCCATCCCTCCAAACCCATCCTATTCATGTACATATCCAGATATTTTTTAATACTGTAATTGTGCCAGTCCCTACCACCTCCTATGGCAGCTCGTTCTGTAAACACTTACAGTGATTGTTTTGTTATTCCCTTGACTAATAGTTTATTGTCCTGAAGAAATATTGGAGCTTTGCCTTGGAGTCAGTAACTTTACCACAGAGTGGATCGTTGGTCATTTCACTGTTCAGTTTCATTTTCCGTGGTTGACTCAAACAATCAAACTGTTTCACAGATTCCACTCCCTGAAGGACAGTTGGAAGTCTGTCAGGTTTCTAAAACAATTTGAACAGATATATCCTCTGCAGAATTGTATTCCCTGGAATTTAGAAGGTTCAGGGCGGATTTAATCAAACTTAAAATTTTGAGGAGAAACTGATAAATTAGGTTCATTTCTGCTGGTCGAGGAATAGGAGCATTGCGTAAAAATTAGAGCCAGGCCTTTCAGGAGAGAAATACTTCACACAGATTGCAGAAGTTTCAAATCCTCTTGCACAAACTGATACCAGAACTGCCCTGAAGGAGGCTTTGGGCCTGGCAACACACTCTGTTGTTCTACAGTGACACCTGCATTCTGCATGTAAACTCTTTTCAAGTTACTTTCAACTAATTAATACTTTCTAAAATCAGTACTTCAGGCAAACTAGGCAAGAAAGTCTCACACATTGACACAAATGACTGGTTAACCTGTGTAAGCAAGAAATGCTTGTTCCTATTCAAAAAGAGTCACTTTGACCCCAGTTTCGTGCTGAAGTGACGATCTAAATTGTGGCTTTAGCTGAACCTATGACTTGTGACTCACCAGTAAAAGGACTTGAGCAAGATCTAGACCAAGCAGGCACACACTTGAAGCTGACAATGGTGTTTTCTTCCCAGTCTTGATGCAAGTCCAGCCAGCAGAGAGGAGGGCAAGTTTTGGGCAAGTCTTCAATGCAGGAGTAATGTAGCCTTACTGTCATCAGACTGGCAGAACAAAGCACCCAGATCCTCCAGCAATGGCCAAACATGATGTGGCCATCCACACAAACCACAATGTCCATTGGTTTCCAAGACAGTGCATCAACATCTTCCTTTCCAAGAACAATCCCCCAATGGAACAAGCTGTCAAAGGAGACAACACAGTATGGAGCTGGAGGAACACAGCAGGCCAGGCAGAATCAGAGGAGCAGGAAAGTTGATGTTTTAGGCCGGGACCCTTCTTCAGAAATTCATTTTCTGAAGAAGGGTCCTGACCTGAAACATCAGCTTTCCTGCTCCTCTGATGTTGCCTGGCCTTCTGTGTTCCTCCAGCTCCACACTGTGTTATCTCTGACTCCAGCATCTGCAGTTCTTGCTATCTCCAAGCTGCCAAAGAAAATAGTCACCATTCCAACTCTGCAAATCTTCAAGCCTCGCCTTTTTTAGTTTGTTTTTAATTCATTCATGAGTCATGGGCGTTACTGGCTGAGCCCAGCATTTATTGCCCGTCCCTAATTGCCCCCTCAAGAAGGTGGCGGTGAGGCGAGCTGCTTTCTTGACTAACAATGCCCTCAGGGAGGGAATTCCAGGATTTTGACCCAACAAAAGTGAAGGAGTGGCCAAGTTGGTGGCGTTCCCATTTATCTGCTGCCCTTCTCCTTTTAATGGTAAAATTTCTATTTATAAGTTTTCATTATCAACCATCCACTGCAACTCCTGCTTGGTTTAGTTGCCATAGAAACATTGATGGAATACAGGTATGAGTCTGTGATATTGACATAACTAAAGTAGAAATTGCTAGGAGTATGAGGTGGGGGGGCAGGGGGGATGCTATGGTAAGACCACACCCGGAATGCAGTTTGATCTCTGACCAAGGAAACAATACATTTGTCTAAAGAGGTGGGGATGCGTCAAATGGCGTTGTATTCTCTGGAGATTTGATTAATGGAGGGAGTGATTTCTTGAAATTTTGACACTCTGAAAGGAATTAATTGGTGAAAGGGGTTTCCTCTGGTAAAGAACATAGAGGCACAGAACAGGGGGAAGAAGCTGTCCATGTTGGACTGAGGTTGGAGAAATTTCGCTCACAGAATTGTGAATCTCTATAACCTGCTATCCCAGGGAGCTGTGGATGGTTGTTAAAGGAGTACCAGTTAAGACCAGGAGCAGTAGATTTTAGGCATAAGCCTAAAATGAGAGGATATCGGGATAGGGAAATAAAGTAAAGCTGAGGTAGCAGATCAGCTGTGATCAGACTGAATAGTGGAACTGTTTCATGCCTCTGTCCAACCCCCTCCTGTTCCCATTTCTTAGAGGTATTAACCTGAGAAATATTGAGCTGAGATAATGATGCTTGCTCCTCACTGAGCTGCCATTACTGACATGAAAACTATCTTAATCTCTCATCAGGAAACAAAGGCTCAGTTTAAAGACTTTAACCCACAGTGCCTGCTGCCGAAATGTAGGGATTACTGGACATATGCGGGGTCTCTAACCACGCCACCCCTGAATGAGAGTGTGACCTGGATCGTCTTCAGGGAGCCGATCCAAGTGTCTGAGAAGCAGGTGAGTGACCAGCGACTCTCCCAGGTGCCCCACACATGTCAGGATATTTCTCTGTGGGCTCCCGAGGCGGAATATGAGGTGCTGCTCCTCCAGTTTGCGTGTGGAGGAGGCCCAGAATGGACATATCGCCCAGGGAGTGGGAGGGATTTAAAATGGTTCGCGACAAACAACAACACCTTTTGGTCACAAACTATTTTAACTCCCCCTCCCACTCCCTGGGTGACATGCCCATCCTGGGCCTCCTCCAGTGTCACAATGACACCACCCGGAAACTGCAGGAACAGCACCTCATATTCCACCTCGGGAGCCTACAGCGCGATGGCCTAAACATGGAATTCACCAATTTTAAAATCTCCCCACCCCCAGCCTCTTCCCCTGTCCAACCCTCCCTCTCATCCCCGCATCCTTTATCTGTCCATCATCTCTCCCACCTATCTGCCCCTCGCACCTCACTGACCAATCCCCGCCGCTCCCTACCTGCACTCACCTAAAACCATCCCACCTACCTTCCCCAGCCCCACCCCTCCTCTCTGTATTTATTTCTGAGCTCCCTTCCCCCTCCCCCATTTCTAACGAAGGGTCCCAACCTGAAACTTCAACTTTCCTGCTCCTCTAACGCGGCCTGGCCTGCTGCGTTCCTCCAGCTCCACACTGTGTTGTCTCTGACTCCAGCATCTGCAGTTCTTACTTTCTCTCAGGATATTTCTCACTCTCTTTTTCTCTCTTTCCTTCTCCTCTCTCTTTCCCTCTCTTTCTCTCTTCATCTCTCTCCTTTTTTCCTTTCTTTTTCTTTTTTTCTCTCTCCCACTTTGTCTCTCTCTCTCTCATTTGTTATGTGAGAATTTTGTCCAAAATCCTGATATAAATTCCTCCAAATAACAATAGGAAAGAGTGAAGCCATTGCCTTGAACTCTATCCCTTTGCTACTAGCCCCATTGCTCTCCTTGGCTAAACTCTCAGATAGGACCAGACCATTCACAAGGTCTCTGTGTCCAACCACATGCTTGGGCCAACAGCCATGGAGCAGACTCAGTGGGTTAAATGGCCTCATTCCACTCCTGTATCTTATTGTCTTATCATCAAAAGTGGCTCCTTCCACCTCTGCAATGTTGCCTGACTCTTCCCCTCCCTCAGTTCCTGGCTTTAAAGCCACAAAAGAGTTTTTGTTTCCTTACGAGGGGGGGAGTCAGTAACAAGGAGGGAGGTTAGAGGCATTTCTGCACACACAGCCATTGTTACAGGCTTGGGAAAGCACTGAGAGATTGAGGCCAACATATTGAACCAAGACTCACATCTTGATGTTTCTTACATCCATCTGCTCGGGAATGTCACATCACCTGTCTGGAGCAGGTGGGATATGAACCCAGGCCTCCTGGCTCAGGACACTACCACTGCAACACAGGAGCCCTGAGCTCCCCAGAGCAGATACTTTCTAATCCTCCCAGTCAGAGGTGTTCCGACACACATCTAGAGCAGGTGGAACTTGAACCTGGGCCTCCTGGCTCAGAGATAGGGACACTGCCAATGTGCCACAAGAAGCCCTCTTGACTCAGAAGCAGGGGAGGGTATTGGATGGTAGGATTTTTTTCTGATTGCACTAGCAAAGACCTAGCACAGATTGGATGGGCAGAATGATATTCCCCTGTTCAAGTGACCCTAACCCAGGCCATTAATATCCAATATCTCACATGTGTCTTTTCCAGTGAGAGTGAGCAGGCGCAGTTTAGGTTGGGCCTTTGTAACAGTTGCTGTTTATTGTGTATGTTAGAGTTTAATTAGTCTAACATTGGGCCAACATGAATACATTAAGAGGCTGTAATGATTTGCTTAATGCCAAGAAAACTGCAGCCTACAGGGGCTAATTATACTTTTCAAGTTCAAAATGTTTGGCCTCCCACTTCCCTTCATTTCTCTTTGTCTTCCCTTTCTCGCTCACTCACTCCCAGACCCACACATTGCTTTCACTCACGTTCTCATTGTCACATCCCCCATTGTGTTTATTTTATTTCACTTCCAGTCAGCTGTTTCTTTCTCCATCTTTCTCCCCCCCCACCACCACTAATGCACTCTCTCTCTTTCTGTCTGTCTGTCTCTGTCTCCACCTCCCTATCTCTCTCTGCCTTTGTCTTTCTCTCTCTGTCTGTCTCTCCATCCCACTGTCTCTCTCACCATCCCACCCCACCACCTGTCTCTCATACATGTGTCCCTGGTGATTGTGGGAGAGGACTGAGTGACTCCGAGAGCTGGGGGCTAACTGCTGAATGTTCACACACTGCATCAGCACAGAGCTCTGACACTGAGGTAGAACCATCATGACCGACTAATACCCAGAGGGTTCAGCCCATCACAGTGGCGGTGTCAGAGCTGCACAAAATGTTTAATTGCTTCAGTGTGTGGGAGATGATCCACTTCTCTTTGTACCTTCACTGGACTGGAGCAGCTGTTACTTGGAAATGCAGTGTAATTGTATCTGTCCTGGTTCTCTCTGCCTGTGACTCACAGTCACAGCACAGCGTCTCCTGTACAGTTCCAGACTGACAGCACCCTCCCTCCCTCTCTGCCTATCTCCCTCCCTCCCTCACTCACTCACTCATTCACTCACTCACACTCTCTCTCTCTCTCTCTCTCTCTCTCTGCCTATCTCGCTCCCTCACTCCCTCTCTCTCTCTCAATCTCTATCTCACCCACTCCCACTCACTCTCTCGCTGCGTCCTTTCATTTCTCCTCCAGCACTGTGGCTGGTCTGATTGTCCTTCTGTCATAGTATTTGTTGCACAGTAAGAGGCCATTCAGTTTATGCTGGTGTTCTTCCTCCTACTTTAATGACCTCTTCCCACTCGGCCCATCTATTCCCTTCTCTCCCACAGAAGCATCAGCCCTCCTACTGTCTCTGTCTGTTCCCACATTACAGCACTTCAGTAACACTCCAATATCTGTGAATGGTTTCATCACACCCTGTGATGGTGAGAGGCGCTATATCAAGGTGCTGAATCTTCCTGGCTCCAAGGAGATGATGGGCCAAAAGGGTTTAGGAGGAGGGGTAAGTAAGGGGAGTAGTGTTGGGACGGTTCCCCCCATCATGGGCTCTCTGAGGGTGGGGTGGGGGGGCAGCTGTGCCAAGAGGGAGACGGAGCAGAAAGAGCCATCTCTGTGCCAGGCCACCAGGGCTCAGGGTTTCTGATTATCCAAAGGAGATGTGACCTTCCCACCATGGGGATCAGTGCCCTCACCCCCTCTCCCTCTCCTTCTCCCGTGCCCTCTCCCTCTGTGTGGACAGATGCCACCTCCCGAGGGCAGCTCAGGGGCAATCCCAGCCTCTCGAGGTTCAGAGGATGGCAGTCCACATCCATAGTCTACCCCTTCTCTCCACAGGGACAGCCTTGTAGCTGGGACCACCTTTCAGAAAGTCCCTGCACCTTGAGGGGTCTACCACATTCAGCAGCGGTGCCCACTCCTCCTGGCATTCCCAGCACTGACTGTCCTATTGTGCAGCCTCCCAATGCCAAACTAAACTGAGATCCTGGAGTCTTCTATCAGGGACTGGACAGGGGTCCCAGACCCTGCCTGAGGGCAGGGGCAGGGGCGTGGGGAGAGAGGGTTATGGGCGAGGTATCCTGTTTACGCCTCCTGGCCGATCTTTGTCCCGGACACACTCTCAACTGGAATCCCGTAGAGAATTTAGGAGAAAACTCTTTACTCAGAGGGTAGTGTGGAACCTGCCCCGACAGGGAGAGGGGGAGGTGGGCAGTGTGCACATGTTCATGGGGAAGCTAGATAGGGGGGGAAGGCTGAGTGCCTTGGTGATTGTCACTGAGCTAGCAATCCAGGTTAATGTGCCATCTTTACCCACTGTGGTCTACATGTGATTCCAGATCCACAGCAATGTGATTGGCTCTCAACTCTCCTTTTAGAGATTTCACAGATCGAGGGCAACTTGCTCGTGGTACTCATATCCCATTCATGAATAAAAAGTATCTCTACAGTGCGGAAAGAGGCTATTCAGCCCATCAGGCTGCACCAACCCTTCAAAGAGCATTCCACCTCTGTCCCGTAAGCCTTCATTTATCGTGTCTAACCCACCTAGCCTGCAAATCCCTGAACACCATGGGACAATTTAACACGGCCAATCCACCCTAACCTCCACATTTTTGGACTGTGGGAGGAAACCGGACCAAACCCACGCAGACACGGGGAGAATGTGCAAACTCCACACAGGCAGTTGCCCAAGGGTGGATTTGAACCCGCGTTCCTGGTGCTGTGAGGCAGCAGTGCTAACCACTGAGTCACCCACATGAAGGATAAATGATTAGAAAGCTTTGTTGATTAGATGGGATGAAGCTGAGTGGAGGACCCTGGACAAACGATCCTTTTTCTGTGCTGTGTACAGTGTGGGAGGGAGCCCTGACTAAATGTTACGAAGCCATATTCCCTGCTGAGGCTCACTGTCCTTGTGTGAGCCAGTGGCTGATTAAATACCAACATGAGCCAACAGTCCCAGGGGAATAAATGAACAATATGCATGTTGTTTCTTTGGTAATCCCAGAATGTGATGAATTTGCATTATCCCCAGGAGTTCTTGGCTCTGACTTCATGTATTCCTGGATGTTTCATCCCAAGACAGCCATCTCCACCTGCCTGTCCCATCAATCATTTCCTGATGACTAATACTAAATTAAAACACAACAATTCTTTCTCTGTGTAGAGCTGGATGAACACAGCAGGCCA